ATTTATTTATTTATTTATATTTCAAATTTGTCACCGCCCATCTCACTGTGGAGTAATAATGATATTAACACTTTTGTTCTCTTTGCTGTATTTTTTCACTTTTTTGTTAAACCACTTCTACGTATTTTTTTCTTCTTTTTGTAATCAAATTTTTTTAAAAAGAAATAAATTTAAAAAGTCCTGTTACAAAATGTAATGTCCCTGAAAACATACATTGGAATGTGTTAAGAAGCAGATACAAATTCGTATGGATATTCTTGGTGAAATGACAATAAAGAGGGACTCTAGATCCACCACATGATAGCAATTTCACAATGTCTTTATAAATAATCAAGACAAATGTGCACCCATCATTACAAGAATAGAACAGACAGTAAATATCTGTTAATACAAAACTGCAGCCACTTTAACAGTAATAAAACTGCTTGAGGCATTGGGTGCAAGAGACTAAGGTTGCCACACCCATCAACCCAAAAGGCACCATTTACAGCTGTTCCCCTCCCCCTGGTTTCAGCTGAACCTTCCTGACAAGTTACACAATGGTTTGTTCAGAGCTTGCTCCAATACAGCAAACCAAGATAAGACTTCATTTCCAATTATAAAGGAAATACAATGAAATAATGTACAAAAAAGTGTTCCTAGCAGGAGGCATTTTATTAGTTTTCAGATTCATACTTAACTAGTTATGTAAGGACAGTTGCCCCCAAATCTATTTCACATTATATTAAACAAAGATATTTCTACACTGGTCACTACCCATTCATGAAGTTAGGAATGTATAGTTTTAAAATTGGAGCTTTAAAATTGTATAGTTGTTGATAATTTTTATGACTGAAAGACTGAAAAATGAATTTACAGTGTTCAGTGCATGCAGCTTAGAAGATGTATTCTCTTATAGAAAAATGTCAAAGAATTATATGTTTACTTCAGGAATAACTTTTCTTCAAGGTGTAATTCTTTTTTGAAAAAACTGAGCACCAATATACCTTAATAAATGTTGAAAAATGTTATACAATGTATTTGCAGACAAACTGAACACAGTGTGGTTTAGGGCTGCAGAGGTATGGTGCTCAATTGGGTAATATGTAATTTCCTAGTTGAATATTGGCTTCCATGGGTTAGTAATGATTTTAATTAAAATATAGCTTTGATCCAGTGGTGCCCTACAGCTAGCAAAAAGTGTCTGCTACTCATAGAAGAGTTACTTCCCACCTATCTAAAAAACAAAAAAAAATCAGCCCAAATCTTCTGTTTACTGCAGCTCTTTCAAGCGCACAGTTTATGTACTTTATCATATATGTTCCTCCTCCACCTCCTCCTCCTCCTCCTCTAATATAGCTTCTGACATATCATGATGTGTATTATTACAAAAAAAATCTCCCACTGATACTTCTTGAAAAGGCATTAATGTGTTTTCTATTATTTTCATTTTTTTGTTGTTGTTAAACTAAGCCATTGGCAAAACATGTATACATTTTAACTGTGTAATCCCAAACTTCGGTGACTCAGGTAATTCATTAACCAGAACTTCCTCTTGATTTCTGAAGATCAGATCTTAGCTGTCCTGCTCACTCATGTTCTACTCATATTCCACAAGTTGTACTTTTTCATTTCCTTAGAAAATATTCTTCATCATGATGGTTAAAGCATTCCATTGTGCTGGGATGTACTGCATCAAGCAATGCTTCTTGTGTTGAAGATGCACAGAGTTTATATTTTAACCAAGGAAATACCAGATCAAATATAGTTTAATCTTCTTAAAGATTATCCATACTTAAGTTTTTTTGGCTTTTGGCTTTGCAACAGCAACTAAGGCTCAGCTTATTAGTTGTCTTGTGCATCATTAACAACAATAAGGAAGCAAATGGGAAGCCATCAACTTGCTTGAATCTGTGTAATTGCCAAGACACCTAAAGGCAAGAAATCCTTGTGCTGTAATTTCTAACAACATTTGCTGTGGAATTAATACAACTCAGCAAAATATTCCCCAGACCTGTAGTAACCATTTAGAACTATGCTACCATTTAATTTCATTGATTTTCTAGGATGGCAATACTTCAAAGAGAAGCCCTATTCAGGAGAGCCTGATTGCCTTTACAAGTACAATTAGGATTGGGGGCGGTGGGGGGAGGGAGACAAAAAACATTAACAAAAATCTGTGGACATCTCTGAGTACAATTTAACATTTTTGCTTCAGAATGGCAAACTTCAAGAGTGATTGTATCCAAACCAAACAATTAAACTGAGATTATTACCTATCGCCTGAGGCCTGGCCTACACGTCCAATAGAATATGACAATAAGAGAATGTACATCTCCATTAAAAAAAAGGTTATCTTTTGCTAAAACTAAAAACAGTAGGCAAAGGACTATTATGACATATGTCCTCCAGATTTGTTTATTTCTTATTTATAGAGCTATGTTACAGAAGACTGGAAGGCATTAAAATGGTAACTGCCCCTGCAGAAGGGGGACATCTATGCCAAGATCACATTCTGTTGCATGAATAGACCAAGCTTTAGATTCTTGGTAACATTTATTGATAGACAATTGCATTGTTTCATATATAATGTATGTGAATTTCAATCTGGAGCTACCAAAAAAAAAATATCAAAGCTTATTAACATTAATATTAAATAGCTGCTTAGACTTCAGTCAAAGCAGGTGTCAGCCCTACAGGGTAGACAGACTAAGAAATCAATGCCATGTAGGTGAGGACTACTTTTATTTTAACATTTACAGTAGTAGAATCTTGCAAGTCTGAATGTGCTTCTCCCTCCCTCATGTTATCTTCCAGTGAACTAGGGAGAGGCCTGAGACATTTACTCAAACTAATTTCTTGACCCGGGCTCAAGCCCCTGTTATCCAACCATTACTTTGGTAATGGCTCTTCCTCCTGTCCTTCAAGGTCATTCCCTATACCTTCTATAGCAGACCACATATTCATCTATTAATACTTCATTTAATTCCATTATAAATGCAACAAAAATACCTGTAGTATTAATAGTTGCATTTCGTGTTACGACTTTAATGATACCACTACCACCCCTTTCTTTTCTGTGGTAAAACAACTCTGCAAGTCGTAGCAAAATCATTTTTGATAAAGTCTGCCATTGGTTTCACTCTGAAGACTAGATTTTATAGAAGGACAAGTCTGGAATCCAGAAGCATGACTTTGTTACAATGAGTTAGACCTTGGCCCTATCCAGCAGCTAGACTTTAGCCCAATATTTCTGCTCTGGCTAGTAAGGCCTTGTTAGGATCTCAATGGCTTTCTAACCTGGAAATACTAAAGACTAAACCTAAGATCAGCTACATGTAAAGATACTTAGAAATACCTTTTCTTCTGTGCAGTACATACCTCCTACCTTCAGAATTAGATCTCAGTTTAAATACCCTGCACAGGAGTTTTTTAACAACACAACTATGCCACCTGCTGAAACCTAATCCGATTCAACTTATTAGGGTGCTATTGCCTAGAAAAATATTCTCTACAGTGCTCTCCCTTTAAAAACAAGGATTTCAAGAACAAAAGAAGAGTAGACGCTTGATATTTTACCTGCAGTGTCTTTCTCTCCTGTAGTTAGTTCTCCATTGATTCCATTCTCTTTGGTTCTGGAATATGAGCTCTGTGGTCCATGTGCACCATATTCTCCAGCTTCATCCTCTTTATATGGAAACCCATTAGCACTTCTGACCAGTCCTTCCCCTGTGCCGCTTTGCTCCTTCATCTCTGCGGCATGTGGATGTGAAGAAGCTTCTGCTATCTGACCTGAGGTCCAGTGCGGTGCCTTAGCTTCATCTTTCCTATCGTCTGCCATACTTCTTGTTCTTTATAATTTTTCTTCTAATAAGAAGGGAAAGAGAAACCACTAGTAAACTGAAACACGCTGCATCCCTCCCAATGATAAAACTGAAATATGGCTGGATATGGAAATGTGTAAGAAAGCATCATCCTCGCAATATGAAGAAAAAGAAAAATACACTGAAATTTTTGTACTTGACTTCAGTATGTTAACATGCATAGCAATTATTTTTTCAATAATAAGAATAAATAATTAATAATCAACCATCTAAATTTATGCATGGCTAGTCCATTTTAGCCTCATTGTATAATTGGTCCAACATCACTCACTGATATGACTGATTTGTAAGTGAATGCAAGTCTTCCCAGTCTAAGCCTTCAGCATTCAAATCCATGGCATGTCGTTAATGGCATATTATAATCACAAGTTGTTAGATGCCTGTTGATGGTAGAAGCAAGGCAGGAGACAACGCCTGGGCTTCGCTATTATTCCTTTCTTAAAAATTGCAGTATGGCTTCAACTTTATATAGAAAATGTAGGATGGAGTTTCAGTTTCTGAATCATCAATTTTTGGGAACCCAAAACAAACCATGGCCAAAGAACAAAGGACTTCCTCCAATGTATGCTGGAGTGACTTCTTTTACCAGGTGAGGAAAGAGGGAATCCATGATCATCAGACTGTTATGTACTTACCACTTAAAAAAAAAAGAAGAAGAAGAATCCTAGCTCCAACCTAATAAGGGCCCTAATCGAATTTGAAGCAAGCATTCCAGTAGCCCAGTTCTTTGGATTTTTCAAGTTGGCTTCATTTACCTCCATTTCTAATACTACTAGGAAGCAGTTAAATGATATAGTAAGCTGTCTGAGAGTTTCTCCACGTTATCTCGACATACAAGTGGAATAAAATAATTTACTATATTCTAAAGCCAAGGGATTATTTGAAATACCTGAATGCCCACTACTATTGCTATTAATTTTAGGAAGACTAAGAGGAGATAATTGCACTCAGTTAACAGCTTAGTATTTAGATGGGATGATTACAGTCTTTTAGGCAATGAAAAGCTGTGGTAGTGGGAATTCAGGAATACTGTATGTTGGTTTATTTAGCCCAATGCATCTCAAATGGTTTACATTTTTCTGCTTACAAAATGCAATTACTAGAATCCAAATATAATTCCTTATACTGAATCACTAACGGTCTGTCTTGACCAGTATTGTTTCCTTTGTCTGGCAGCTATCCAAAGCTGCAGAAATTAAATCTTTTCCAGCTCAGTTCCAAGAACCTTTTAAAGTTGAAGATAGTAATGCTGGCCCTCCGGCATGCAAAGCATGTGTATTGCCATGGAGCTAAGGCCCTTCTATAATTATGATACAATGCTAGAGTCCTACATAAAAGAAAAAAAGCAAATACAATTATGGATGTCTAGAAGCAACAGAGAGTGGGACCTTTGTACAATTATTAGTGAACTTTGCCAGATGAAACTTGTTGCACTACCATCCCTCAAGAAGTGGGAAAAAATGCACATAGTGGTTATGAATTCCTCAGCTGGCCAGCTGTTATCATCAGAATTTATCTGTGTGCTGCTTTTCTGTGTAAAGCTAACCCAAAGCAGCCCATAACATTTAAAAGAAAATTTGCAAAAGGCCAAGCTTGCCAAACAAAACATCAATACTGTAATCATACAAATTTCAATGAATATACAATACCAAGCAATGTTAAATGTATGTATGTTTGTATGTATGTGTGTGTGTATGTATCTGTGTGTGTGTATGTATCTGTGTGTGTGTGTGTATGTATGTATGTCTGTATGTATGTGTATGTATGTGTGTGTGTGTGTGTGTCCTAACAGAAATCCAAAACCACAATTTAATCAGAAAAAATGCTGCTTTTGATTGTATTAAGTGGAGGTCCAGCAGCAAGGTCTAAGATGAGCTTAGGGCACCTTCAGTTGCAGGTAGCTAGATACCTAGAGAAAGGGGACAACCATCCCAGTCTGGATACAGATTAGCTAGACAGAGGAAGAGGAATCATATCTTCCAGGACTCAAGCTAGATAGTCTTAGATGGTGTCAGACCATTCAGATCATCACTATATAACTTAACAAAGAGAAAGCATACGCACACACTTCCAACACATCATTCTCAAACAGAAGAAGAGAATTTGGAAAAAGAAAAAAAAACTTTCCTTATTTATAAAGTACAGTGGTACCTCGGGATACAAACTTAATCCATTCCATGACTCTGGGTGTATCCCGAGTTGGTCGTAACCCGACGCAAATTTCCCCATAGGGTTCAATGTAAATCCGCTG